CCACGACGTGGGCGTGGAAGATATAGCCAGTTACTTGGTAGGATGTCCCTCTGTGGGGCTTATCTGATGATTCTCACCAGGAGATTCAGCACGTGTGCTCTTGGCACAAAGAGCATGTAAATACCACCACTGTGTCCTTCCTAGGGCGTCACCTTGAGAGGCACACAGTGTCTATTTGTCCATCCTGGTGACGTCCACTTGATCACCAGGTTCTCCTCTGCAAAGCCACTAACCCTTTAATAAGTAATTTATATAGAGGTATTTGCGACCTTGTGAATGTCTGCCATTCCCCATGCTCTGGTCCACTAGCTGCAGCATCCACCCTTGGTTCTTGCTGGACGCACACACACAGGTTTCTGGGTTCCTCCACCTGTGGGGTTTCATGGGAACGGGCCTCTCCCTGGCACCAGTTTTGAGCTTGGGGCCAAGTAACTGAAACTTTCATGGGTGCTCCCAGAGAGCTTGGGCACAGAGCTTTTGGGGCCAAGGTCTGTTTGTCCCAAGGGGTAAACCCCGGACCCTTCTTGGAAAGCAGGGCTTGGGGTCCAGCATAGAGGGCAGTGGGTATTGTGGAGGGGAGGACGAAGACCACTTCAGACTACTTCCTTTGTTCCCCTGCTCCCTGCCTGGACAGGAGCCGGGTCTGGAGGCCTGGCCCCCATCCTTGCCCAGAGCCAACAGGTGTGGCAGCTGCAGGGGAGACTGGGGGCAGGGGGTTCTTTACTAGACACTTCTATGTCTCGTGGGCCAGGGGTACCCAGAATTACCCTTGACCACCTAATACGTGGGCACCTCAGCAGGGCTGGCCCAGGACTTGCAAACAGAGGGCTGTTCTGGGCTGCTTCATCGTTAGCCCAAGGTCCCTCAGTGGCAGGGATGCAGTCCTGTCCCTTCCTCAGGCCCCAGGACCGGGCCTGGCACTTACTGGGTCTCAGAATGGCTTTGCAGAAGGGCATGCATCTTTGTGGGAGGCCAGTTCCTCTGTCCACAAGGCCTCCTGGAGACCAGGGAGTGGCACCCCTCGGGCCACCCCCAGCCCCCTGGACTGGCCCTGCTGTCCCAGACCCTGTGGCTTCCTTGGTGCCTCTCTGGTTTGAGGCAGGGAGGGGAGAGACCCGAGGGGATGCGAGCAGTGCAGGGACCCAGTGGAGGACCAGAAGCCCACGCCTGCCCCCAGGATCACACCCCTGCACAGGCCCCCAACCTACAAAGTAGGGATGGTCACACCCGCTGCACAAGCTGTGTTGGGAAAGGCTCAGTCAGAAAACACGTGCTGAGCCCAATTCCTCTCTTTGTCCTGGATGATGGGAGAGCCGGCAGTGGGGCCTAAAGCCGTTGGAGTCCCTTCAGGGGAAGTCCTGAGAGGGGTGAAGAATGCTTTTAATTTAAGTTCTCTGGAAAGGGGATGATAATAGCGTCTCACCCGTCACCCCTTCACCCCAGGGAACCCCTAGGCAGCCTCAGAAACCAAGAAGGAAATTATTAACCTCACAGTGCTTCCAGTCCCTGGACAAGGGTCTTGGTCCTCCAGAGCAGGGAGTAGGCGGTACCGGGGCAGAGGCTGCAGTGAGCTCTGCAGGAGATGTCCAGCCCCATCACCCCTGAGGACCTTCCCTGACATGCCGGGTTGAGGCGCGGGGGCGGGGGGGGCGGGCAGGTGGAAGCCAAGTGCGAGCTGCCAGCCCCCTTGTCCTGTGCCCGTCAGTACTCAGTCTCTGGCCCCTCTGGGGATTGGGCCCCCTGCCTCCCAACAAGACCCTGCCCCCTGGCCGTTTCTGTAACATCTGTGTTGTGGGTGGATGTGCCTTTCTGTAAACGCTGGACGTTGTGTGTGCTGTAACCCAGCATCCGGGGAATGGTCATTGTCCAGGGGGAGGACACGGCCTAAGCAAATGTACAAGCAGGGCCGTCGGGGCTCCTCTGTGGATTATGAATGAGCCAAGAGGCCCTGCCCATCCCTGGCCAGCCTCTGTCCTTCTGTGTCCCGGCTCCATGCTGCCCTGGAAGACCAGGAGGACAAGAGGAGAGCCGCTCCCTGAAGGCAGGTGAGGAAGGCCCAGGTGCCGTTCACCCAGCAGAGGGACCAGCTCATCAGGAAGCTCCCCAGGCACCAGGCCAAAATGAACCAGCAGTGTGCATGTGGGTGGGCACACTTCCTAGTAAAGGCTGTCTGCAACTTGGGGGTGGGGTCACTCCGTGTGGGGTCTGCTGTCTGAAAGCCACCTGCTGCTGGAGCCCTGGCCCAGGGTCAGTGACCCCTTGGGAAGAAAGTTCCCTGCTGGGAAGACATGCTAGCCGGGCTGTCCTCAGTGCGGCACAGTGGGTCATGGTCATCATGGTGACATGCTCCCTCTGCACAGATCTGCTTTGTAGGGAGCCCTACCTGGTCTGGTAAGGGCTGTTTGACAACTAATTCTTTATTATTCTTAACAGCTTTATTTTTATTTTTTAAAAATATTTTATTTATTTATTTGTCAGAGAGAGCAAAAGCAGGGGGAGTGGGAGAGGGAGAAGCAGGCTCCCAGATGAGCAGGGAGCCCGATGCAGGGTTCGATGCCAGGACCCTGGGACCACAACCTGAGCCGAAGGCAGACGCTTAACTGACTGAGCCACTCAGGTGCCCCGATTAACAGCTTTATTGAAGCATTTTTAATTCATCCATTATGTATGCACAATTCAGTGATTTTTGTTTTACAGTGAAAAAAGGTGCTTTTATTATAACACGGGGACAGGACCCGTGGGCAGAAAGAGTTGCCAATTCAATGATTTTTAGTAACTTTACCAAGTAGTATGACCATCACGAGCTTCACATCACCCCAAAAAGAAACCCTGTACCCAATAACCAGTCACTCACCATTTCCCCCTTCCCTGGGGCCCTGGTGACCACTAATCTGCTTTATGGATTTGCCTGTTCTGGGCATTTCCTATAATTGGAATGTGGCACAAATCAGTACTTTATTCCTTTTTATGGATGAATACGTCCATTGTGTGGCTAGGCTACATTTTGTTCACCCATTGATCTGCTGATGGATGTCTGGGTTGTTTCCACCTTTTGGCCACTATGAATAGTGCTGCCATGAAGATTCCGGTACAAGAGTTTGTGTGGATGTAAATTTTCTTTTCTCTAGAAGCTGAATGACTGCATTGTATGGTATTTTTATACCTAACTTTTTGAGTCACCCCCTATTAGGTGTCATATGTAAGTATGTTCTCATAAACAAATGTTATCAATGAGGAGAAAGTCACTCTTGATCCCCAACCCCAGAGCAAACGACGCTGTCCAGACCTCTTCCTATGCGCGCATCGTTTCTCTATACCTAAAACCTTCAGTAAAACGAATTTTTAGAAGCGTAATACTGAAATCATCCTGGATAAAGCATGCTGTCATCTGCGTTCTTCTCTTTTCGCGTCCGTATGGGGCTGCACGAAGCCGGCTGATCCAACAGCTCCGTACCAGCGGACCGGGCTGAATTACCAGCCTGGACCACCGCGCTCCGAGAGTCTGTTCCCGCGGGCTGGCCCGCAGCGATGCTGCCGATCTGATGGGTGGAAAGGCTATTATTTCGATTTCCCATTTTGCAGAGTGGAAGTGCGTCTTCACACGTGTTTCCAGGTTCTTCATACTTCTTTGCCCATTCATCCTGTAAACAACTGCGGAGTCACCTCCTCCTGGAGCCCCCCACCCCGCCTGACCTCGGACCCGGGGGGACGCGTGGCTCCGGCCACGAGCCCCTGGGGGTAGAGCCCGTGCAGCCATCCGCCCTGGCGTCCAAGAGCAGGCCGCTCAGGGCACAGCCGAGGTTCGAGAGCATTAGGCCTGGGCGACCAGGCGCCGTAAGGTAGAGGCCCCCGGCCCAGGCAGCCGCCCGCTCGCGGGACCGCTCCGAGCGTCGCCCCGGCGGCCCCGCCCCTGCCGGAGCGGAAGTCCCGCCTCCCCGGGCCTCTCCGAGCGCTGATTGGCCAGCCCCGGCCCGCCACGCCCGGTCCCCGCCCCACCGCGGGGAGGGCGGCTCCTGGGAGCGCAGTTCCAGGTGGCCTCGCCACCCTCGCGGGGCTGTCTGCGGGAGCAGCGGCTGCACCTTGCTAGGGGCTTTCGTTCTCCGGGACACAGCCGCGTCACCTCAGCCCGGGGACCGCCACCATCCTACTCCCGCCCGCGGGAGGGGGCGTATGCAAACAACCTGAAGCCCCAAGCTCCTGATTGGTGAGCGTGTAGGGAAAGGGGCGGGAAGCACGGGGCGAGTGGGGCGGGCTGAGAGGGGCCGTGATCGACGTGCGGGCGGACCAGTGGCTCTGGGAGGATCGGAAGCGGTGGCCAATGGCGTCGAGAAGAGGGCGGGCGAGGGCCGAAGTGTTGCTGGGGCAGAGGGCAGGGCTGCTGGTGACTGCGGGTGCTCTGGGGGGAGCAGCGGGGGCGGTAGAGGTGCTGACGGACGTGCAGGCAAACCAGCGGTTCTGGGAAACCCGGAGGCGAGTCGCCAATGGCGACGGCGACTAGGCGAGGCGGCCAGAATCTGCCCCCAAAGCTGAATGGGGCGCGGTGGGGGCGGGCAGTCGTGACGGATGTGCGTACGGACCAATGGCCACGGGAAAGAGGCGGCGGGTGACCAATGGCGACGGGGTGGAGGCGGGGCGACCGGACGCTTAACGGTGGAGTGTGGGAAACGGTGGGGGGGGGCGGGCGGTCGTGACGGACGTGCGCTCCGGCCAATGGGCCTGGGCGGGCGGGGGCAGCCAATGGCGGCGCTCACGCCGGGGGCGGGGCGGCGGGGCTGCGCGGCGCTGTGCGGGAAGCGGTGGGGCGGCGGCGGTGGTGCTGAGGTGAGGCGGGTGGCGGTGGCGGCGACGGCGGCGACGGCGGCGGCGGCGGGTGGTGGCGCAGGTGCGGGCGGACGGCGCAGGCGGGCGGACGGCTGGCGCGGGCGGGGCCTGGCCCTAGCCGCCAGCCCGGGCCTCGCCGGCCGTCCCCGCTCACCCGCGCCCCGGGCCCGCAGGTCGGTCCGAGGCCTCCTCCCCGCCCTGCTCCCGCGGCCGGCGCCGCGGGCATGCGGGCTTGGCTCGCGCAAGCGTGAGAGGATGGGGACGCAGGGCAGCCCGGTCAAGAGTTACGACTACCTGCTCAAGTTCCTGCTGGTGGGCGACAGCGACGTGGGCAAGGGCGAGATCCTGGAGAGCCTGCAGGACGGCGCGGCCGAGTCCCCGTACGCCTACAGCAACGGTAAGGCCGCGGCGCGGGCGGCCCTCCGTGCAGCGAGCAGGCCTGCGGCAGCTCGCGATCTGTTTTCTTTCTCAGCCCTGTGTCCTCCAGCGAAGGCCCGAGCCCCGGGGTGGGGGTGGGGGGCGGGGAGCAGCAGGATCCGGAGCTCGCAGTCTGCTTGGCCCTGGCCAGGTCAGATGGAGGCCTTCAGCGAGGCGAGTGGCTTTGCAGTGGGCCCCTGGGTCCATCAGAGCAGAGCGGCGTGGTGGCTGTGGGCCCGCGCCATCTCAGCCCCGGAGCGACAGCCTCCCAGAGGGTGCGTGAAAGCAGGCATGTTCCGGAGCCCGGGATGGAGGTACCTGAGGGGCAGCGTCCAGCGGTGGGGGTCCCACGGCCACCGGGGTTCTGTGCAGTCCAGGTGGAGAAGCTGGGACAGGCGTGCCAGGTATGGCTAGGGTTTTCCCGTGACCCTGTGGCATGTGTGTGCAGATGGGGTCCCTCAAAGGCAGGCTGACCCGCTGAGGCAGTTGTTACTCAGGGCTCAGGGAACCAACAGCTTGTGCTGGAAGGAGATGCCCACCTCTCAATTTCCGGTTGCGTTGTTCAAGCACACAGCTAATAACGCATCCCTAGCACTCGTCCCAGCTTCCATCAGTTTACATCTTTCACGTAGAAAAAAAAGCAGCTAACGTGTGCAGGGGATCAGTGTGGTCAGAACCTCCTCTGTGGTGGGGGCCCTGTCCCAGGCCACATGGAGGTTTTTTTTGAGGGGAACCAGGAAATCTGAGAGTATGTCAGCATCCAGTCTTTGCAAGGAATTTCTTCTGATTTTACTTCTTCAGGTCTTTGTTCTCCACACCCTTTGTTACTTTGCTTCTTGGACTCTTGTCAGTCCTGTCTGACTGCTCTGAGCATTTGCTGTTGGCTAGGTTGTTGCCTATAGGCAGCTGACAGCGTGTGGACTTGTGAAGGTTGTTGGATCACCCGCACTGGCTAGACGCCCTTCTTGCTGGGCCAGCTTCAGCTACAGGATTTGCACGGCGCCACCTCCTAAAGCATGTGCTCTCAGCCCCGCCTTAGGGGAGATGGCTCGAAGGGCAAGAAGGGGGGGCCTGGCTTTGTTTTTAGGTGAGGGAGAGCCTCCATTGGGGCCTCAGCAGGCCCTTCATCGGTTACTGCCACCTCAGTGGACGCTTGACAGCGACTGTCAGAGGTGTCCTTCGTGACTTAGTCGTTGAGTTGCTTTTCCAGTGGTAGCACTGCTTCCTGGAGCCCCACTCCCGGGAGGCTGGTGATGCGTGTTGAGAAGAGCGTGAGAAGGCTGGGGTTCGTCTGGGGCAGCAGTGTTTTCCTGGAATGTTCATACATGCTTCTGAGGATCCCCTCAGCCGCACCATCAGGGACTCCAGTAGGGTGCAGCGAGCTCTCAGGGAACACAGAGCCACTGGTTGGAGAGATGGGACCCACCTCCTGTGCTCTCTGTTGGGTTGTAGTGGCTGCCACAGTTTCTAGGACACGTTGACTGAACTAGGGTCAGTACTGAGTAACACACGGTGATCTGCTTGCGACGGTGCAGTTGTCAGAGACTCACAATGAGCTGGTCCAGTGCGAGGGCCATCTGCCAGAAATGGTGAGGAAAGGAGCACTCACAGGTCCCTGCCATCACCCCAGCATCAAGTGGAAAAGGCAAAGTGTTAGCCTGTGTCTAGGATCCTTGAGGTTAAGCGCGCAGCTCGAGGGGCGGGTGTGTGTGGTCAGGGCTCAGCTCGCTGACCCCGGTGGCCAGTGCTGTGTCCCTGGGGAAGTGGGCAGAGGGGAGAGCAATTGCTTCTGCTCTGAAACCTTCCTAAGGGAGATCCTTGAGGGTTTTGGAAGCTCTGGAGCAGCTGGTTCTCAGGGTTCCCCATCATGTGAATTTGTTTTTTGTAAGAGTTAATAACGTTCAGGAATTTTTAAATTTCTGATTCTCTTACAAAGGATATACATGTATTTCTTTTCTTTCTTCATTGTTAAAAGCGCTTAGCACGTTTCCAGGCTTGTTTTCTGCCTAAACTTGGCACGGTTCCTCTCACCAGGAGCAGATGACCCATGGCAGGGAAATCCCCACTTGGTGAAGGACGTGTAATCAAATGCCTTTCCTTGGGCCAGCCTGATTACTTACCTGCATTGAAGTCTTGTCTAGCTCGTTCTTCAGACAGGGACATGAGTGCACATCATCTTCCCAGCTCTGCAGACACGTGAGTCATTGAAACGGCCTTTTCTGTGCTGGCACCTGAAGCTGTGACAGCCGTCTGTGACTGTGTGCCCACACCCATGGGAGCCTGCCGCAGGCTCTTGGTTTGTGGTTCATGGGTCTCTGTAGAGCTGGAAACCTTCCTTTCGGGAGGCTTGAGTTTCCTCTTTTCTGAACACACAGCAGCGGTTTTAGAGGAGGCCTCTGTTCTGTTGGGGAGACAACAGAACACTTTGCATAGAGGTTCCGCCCGGGCCATCCGCGGGGAAGTTACACTCCAGAGCGTAAGTGTCAAGGAGGCTTGGTTGTGAAAGCTGGCAGGAATGAGGCACAGGTGTTTTGTGAGCAGCTTATAGTCCTGAGTGCACCCCCAGGTCTGACTCCGCACTGGGGCGCTGGGAGCCCAGGGAGTGTCCTGCTGCAGTGCACAGGCCTGGTCCCACTTTTCTGAGGCCAGTGAACATTTAGGGCAGTTACATGCTCTGCATTTGGCTCCCACAAACCTTCACATTGAAGGTTGGGGGCCGGCAGGAAGATACACTGTGGTTGATATGCCCGTGTCCCGGGAGACTCAAGAGTGGATGTGAGTCCATCTCTCCGTGTCTGCTCCTCTGGGGTCAGTGTTGGTGGGAGCTGCTGAGTGTACTTTGAGCCCAGGGCCTGGGGGGCAGGGGAGGTAGGAGGAGCGCAGTGTTGGTGATGTGTGTGGACAAAGCCAGGCAAGCGTGAGGTGTGCTGTGAGTATCTGGGTCCTGCTGGCTGTTGGTGTGTATGGGACCAAACAAAGCCAAACAAAGTGGGGGAGCAGCCCACTTCAGCAACCCGATGGCTGGCTGGAGCTCATCATGTCCCCTAGCTCCATGGTTTTTCACTGGACAGTTCTCTTTTTTTTAAGATTTTATTTATTTATTTGACAGAGAGAGACACAGCGAGAGAGGGGAGCACAAGCAGGGGGAGTGGGAGAGGGAGAAGCAGGCTCCCTGCTGAGCGGGGGGCCCAATTGGGGGCTGGATCCCAGAACCCTGGGATCATGACCTGAGCCGAAGGCAGACGCTTAACGACTGAGCCACGCAGGCACCCCTTCACTGGACAGTTCTGAACATCTCTTCTCACCTGGCTGGAAGTTGGTTTCTATCCTCAGTGCAAACCCAAGGAGAGACTGCATCTCTAGATGTGCCACCATGCTGTTTCCTGAGTCAGGATGGGTCTCTGGTGTCTCATCCGCTGTTTTATCCCCGGTGTTGGCGTGAGATGTATGCCCAGGAGGCATTAACTGCTGTGTGTCCTAAATGAACGAGCAGCCTGTGTGCAGTGTCTCTGTGTTGACAGAAACCTGGTGTTGGTTGCTGGGTCACCGCACAACCCTTCGTCGTCCCTTTTCTTGTTTGTTTGTGTCTGGACTCTGCCCATTTTTCTGGGCGATTTACTGGGATTTGCCTTTCTTCTGTGAGATGCCAAGTTCCAAAGAGGGATGTTGGCCTGGAGTATGATGTGTGCCCAGCATGGTCACAGTGCTGGGCTCCCCCAGTGCTCTTTCCATCATCTAGGCGTCTCTGCCATCCTCTGACGGAGGCACCATCATCGTCCCATTTGACAGATGAGAAACTGAGGCTCAGACAAGCTGGGGAGTGCAGCTGCCGTAGGCAGTGCAGGGCCTGGCGCCCGTTGTCTCCCTAGGCACTGGCTGCCCGACCCCCTTCCCCTGGGCAGCGGGTCACTGAGTTCCTGGTTGACGCTTCTCCCCAGGCTTTGTTAGGCAGAGTCTGGCTGCTGGGCACCTGGTGCTGACTGGCAGGGATGACCCTCTTCTCATCACAGACCTTCCCCGATACTGGGGCTGCCTCCTCCCTCTGCTCTGGGGCCTGGGACAGTCACTGAGGCCCATTTGTTCTCCCTTCACTGAGCTGCTCCAGCCCTGCCTGCCTCCCTCCTGGTGGAGACCAGCAGAGCAGAGCCCCGACAGCTCCCAGGGTCAGCTGCTAATCAGGGCAGCAAACCACCAGTTTCCAGAGAAGTTTCCAGCAGGCCCCAGAGTGCCACGCATACACCTATCTGTGCGGGGCTGGGATTCCTAGCTCCCCCTTTGCCAGAGGCACTCACCTGCTATGTGTGCCATGTAAAGTTCAGCTTAGCCCAGCCTGATGGGGTGGCAGGCGGGGAGGCGCAGACTTCTGTTTCTGCTTCAGATGAAGCTAATTAGGCTGGTTGGTCATTTGACTTGGCATGGCCTTGCCTAAGTTGTCCGAAAGTAGGTAGACTATTTTAAATTTTAAGTTTTTCCCCCAGTCTTGAGCAGTTTCCGTAAGCTCAGGCAAGTCAGAGAATATCTGCCTCAGTGGCCGGCACCTAGCGATGCAGAGCTGGCCTCTCTTACAGGGCTGTGCTGTCACCGTGACAGTGCTGTGTCATGTTCCCATCAGCAAGAGTGTGGCTTGGTTGATGAAGTCAACAGAAATGTGTTTCAGGAAGGAGACCCCAACAGGGAGCCAAGGAAGTAGGCTGGAAAGGTCTTTCGGGTACTTCCCCTCCTGTTGAACCTGAATTGTACCTGGTCTGGGGCCTGTGGCCAGTGAGGGGGAGGAGGAGCAGAAGGCAGAGGGTAAAGTTGTAGCCAGGCCTGGGGAGTGGGCAGCACCTGGTGTGGGTGTTGTGGGGTCTGGGGCCACGTGGGTCAGGGTGTTGCCATCTGCCATATGGAGGAAGTGGGGTAAGGTCTCCATGTCCAGCGCCCTGGTTTGGAGCAAGGTGGCCCACGGGGCTGGGTTTGCTGCCCTGGGCGTGCAGGGGA